CCAGCTCCCTGCTGCCCAAAGATGCCCTGGCTTTCCCAAGGGTGATGGGACCCGCCCAGCTCCCTGCTGCCCAGACCCCCTGGCTTTCCTGAGAGTGATGGACTTGTCCAGCTCCCTGCTGCCCAGACCCCCCCAGCTTTCCTGAGGGTGATGCTGTCTAGCTCCTGGCTAGATGCCCTGACTTTCCTGAGGGTGATGGACCTGCCCAGCTTCCTGCTGCCCAGAGATGCCTGGGATTTCCTGAGCGTGATGAGGCCCCACCTGAGGATGGCTGCATTTGTGCCAACTTCAGATATTTCATCTGAGCCGACAGAGGCTCTAGAACTTGGAATCCACCAACGTTGACCAACACTGGGAGCAGCGTCCGGAGCCCCAAGACAACCTGATCACTCAGAGATCTCTCTTCCCCACCCCACCTTCTTCCTGAGCCATGCACAGAGAGGGTAGACATTGAACAATGATTAGAAGCAACTCCAGGGTCCCTCCATGGGATTGAGACCAGGTGACAATGTGCGCCAGGCATGTTCTAGGAAATGCTGGAGGAATAGGGCCATCTGGACCCGTTGAGAGGTAGGTGGTTCCAACTCAGACTTCAGAGGGAGCACCGTGGGTTGGGGTGAAAATGGCACTTCTATCTCTAGAGTTCCCCCAGTGGCCAACAGGTGGAGTCAACCCAGATGTCCTTGGATGGACTGATGCCTGCTTACCTAACATGAGGTGCCTCCCCACCGAGGAGTAAGACTCAGCCACAGAGGAGTGAGGGCCTCATCCATGCTGCGGTGTGGGCCAGCCTGGAGAATGTCATGGAAGTGGAAGAAGCCAGGGGCGAGGGCCACATGTGGCCAGCTGCATCCCTGTGACATGGCAGAGCAGTCAGGGGCCCATGGGTGGTTGTCCGGAGCTAGCGGGGATGGGCAGTCATTGGGTGGTCTTTGGGGATGATGAAAAGACTTTGGAAGTAAACGGAAGGCATAGTACAGCATGCGCCTCATGCCACCTACTGTGTCATAGTTTAAAACCTTAATTTTATGTGCAGTGAGTTTCACCTTAATTTAAGAAACAGGAAGAGAAATACCAGAGGATGAGAATTCTTTACTCATGGTGTGCTCTGTGCATGTGAGATGAATGTCATACCCTACACACTTGCAGACTCCCAATCGGGTGCGGTTCCTGCCCTCCTGGAGTCAACGACCTGTACGAAGTCCCCAAAAGAATGGGATGGTGCCCTGGCAGCCTGGGGCTTTGAAGGGGGAGGGCGTCACCCAGGTGGACCCTGCCAGACACCTCACTTAGGGGCGGCTGAGGGTGCACCAACCAGTGTGCTGGGACTCTGTGTTCTGACCACAGTGCTGGGGCCCTTTCTAGAAGCTTCCTGGAAGCGAGAGTCAGTTTTTGTGTAGGCGGGGGGAACGCAGGCCGGAGGCCCCATAAGGACGGGCACATCTCCCTCCCGGAGCCTCACTGGCCACACCTGCTTCAGGGGAGCAAAGGGAGCTGCTGGGGCACTCGGGCCGCGGGAGGTGCCTGTCGAAAGGCGAGTGTGAAACTGGGGTGCTCAGGCCATGGGAGGTGCCGGTTGGAAGGTGAGTGTGAAACTGGTGTGCGTGGGCCATGGGAGGTGCCCGTCGGAAGGCGAGTGTGAAACTGGGGCGCATGGGCCGTGGGAGGTGCCCGTCGGAAGGCGAGTGTGAAAACAGCAGCGTGGAAGCAATGGAAGGGTCTTTCCAAGGAAGCAGGTCTGGGGAAAATGAGGGGGCGGTCAGGATGGGCTTTTGAAACATTTTTTAAATGTCTGTTTTCTCATTATAAAGGCAATGTATGCTCATTGTAGCAAACTTCAAAAATACAGGAAAGTAGAAGGTGGGAAAAGGCGCTGCGAATCTGCCGTCCAGACCTAACTGAGAACGCAAGGTGTGCTGCTGCCCTCGGGGCACGTGCCCACGCCTCCTCCTGCGCCCGCCCTCACATCTCCCCATCCGGCATGAAGCCGCTCAATAGCTATTTATGGGCTAAATTTTGGCCATGATTAAATTCCTGTGACTCGGTTTC